AGCTCAGGAGACTGGGGCAGGAAGATGTCGAGTTCAAAGCCAGCCTCAGCAAAAGCGAGGCACTAACCAAGTCAGTGAGACCACATCTCTAAATAAAATACAAACTAGGGCTGAAAATGTGTCTCAGTGGTTATGTGCCCCTGATTTCAAGCACCAGTACCCATAAAGAAGAAGAAGAAGTAGGAGGAGGAGGAGGAGGAAGTCATCAATACAGAGATGTCCTCTGCTGAGACAGGGTCCTCCTCTTTCTCTTTTCAAATCTGCACTTGACCTGTCTTCAGTGCTTTTGTGCTGGGTAAACCAGAGGCTTCGAGGAGATGTGAGAAGATGTCCCCTGTGTGCAGAATGGGAGGCTGCACTTCCTAGACAAATTATGACCCCAGATCTCTACCACTAAAAGGTTCTGGAAGCCTTTCTGAAGGACTTAGAGTGAGAGTGATTCCTGCCTAAAGCAAGTGGGTTGTAGATCTTCCTATAGCCAGCATCAAAGGTGTAAGTGACCATGTGTTATGTGGCCACATTTGGTCAAATGCTTAACTGCTGTTTTGAGAAAACATGAACTAGGTACTACGAAACAGAGATCATTATTGTGACGCTTCCAAAGAAGCTTCTGAGGATCTGTTTACCCTTGATGTCTGAAATACTCCAAATGTGAGGCAGATGAATGGAAGAGCAGGGAAATTCCAGACACCTTCAACTGTTTATGTAGGAGAATCAGCATAAGGTGGAGACTGAGGTAAGGTCCAGCTTGGAAGACCCCAGGCTTCAGGACGGCTAAAGAGCCAGGACTTTAAAACACTAAGGTGTGCATCTGGAAACACTCTTGCTATTTCTGGAGCTCCCTAAGACATGTTGTTTACGTGGAATGCAAGAGGCATCCTCCTTCTTGATCCACAGAATAAAGCAAGGCCTTCTGGAAACCATCCAGAGATGGCTCTGCCCTGAGTTATTTTATTTGCTCCTGGTCACTTGACAGGTCTTCTCCTCTTTAATACTTTGGTGATGAATTGAGTACCTCAAAGTTAGTTGAGGATGGAGAGTTTGTAACTAATTGTTGCCTGTTTTCTCAGCAGGAGAACCTCACCCAAAACTTTAAGGCATAAAGGGAAAATTTTTAATATTCTGTTCCATATAAATATATTCACAGGTTAAAAAGTGTTTTTCAGTTTGTGTTATGACTTCTTACTCGGGTAATATGAGTTCCTCTCTGTGTCATACACACTAGAACACCCAGCTTTGGTCTCAGGTTCTCTGTTGTCAAATGGAGACCAAATCCTGGGATGGACTGTCTGTGGTTAAGAACAAGAGGAAATTTGTTAATATTGTTTTTTTGTGCTTTTTCATATATAGAAGAAATAGAACAAGAGAAAGGTAAGTGACATTTATTTTTGACCTATGCAGTAGTTTGACATATACACAATTGATCTTTGTGATTGTTGCAACAAAACCAAAATCCATTAGCAATTCCTTTAATCACCTAAAAATAATGTTTGGGGACAATTAAACCAATATCGTGGTAATTTGAAAGGTCCGTATTGAGCATTCATAGAAGGTAGACAGTCCTGGCAGGGATGCGGGAAGGCGTGGTGTGGGGCTTCAGCCCTTCCACCTCCCTCGCGCCCCCCAGTGATGACGAATGACTCCTCCCACAGCAGGAGGAGTGAGCCCATGGGTCCTGCTGAGGAGGGGCCAGCCAGGCCAAGTTGCTGAAGAGCAGGGACTGGGAGTGAGAGGCGGTGGTGAGGAAGGAGAGCGCTGGCTGCACTGCTGTCCAGAGTGAGCCAGCGGGTGGCCTGGTCAGAGGAGAGGGACATCAGCCCTGGGACTCTCTTTCCCAAGCCCAGGCAGAGCCAAGCCCAGGCGGCCAGCACGCAGATCTCGTTCCAGGAGAGAATGTTACCTGAACGCTGGCCAAGAATTGAGAGGCCGAACGGATCTGCGCTCAGGTGGTGCTGCGCATGTCACATTTTCTTGAGGGCAGAGAATGCATTATACGGTTAGGTGGGAGGTTTTCTGGAAGAAAGCTAAGAAGGAATCCACTCAGAGACGCTCCAATAAGCAAACAGCCTAAAAGTCAGCCGATTATTTGGTATTCAGTATTTGGTATTAAAATTCACAAATCAGATTTCTTCCTGAGCCATTATACAAATCTAACAGTGCCTGATCTATTGAATAAAAACTGTTTCATTGAAGGAAATAAAATCTGTGTGATTTCTGTGGTTCCTTTTAATTTATTCATCCATTCATTAATGTTGGTTCATATAGGAGATAAATAAGTGGTGATTAGACTTTAATGTGTATTAATGGGATCTGAAATCAGACTGACCTGTTTAAAATTATTTCAGTTCTTAAGATTTCCAAGATCTTGCAGTTTTTTAATCTCACTCAGCCGCATTTTTCATTTGCAATTTACCTATGATAATGCTATTGAGGTGATAATATCATTCACACTCAAGATTAAAATTTTGCATATTTAAATACCTGAACACATATTACAGATAATGTTATTCTTACTACTACCAGAATCATAGCTATTAATTTCCAGAAAAAGCATGATTCTATCTGCTTTACCAAATTCTGAGATCCCATGAAATCAAAATGAATCTATGGCATCTATTTAATCCTCACACAATTATTTCTGTGAAATAATAAATTAGCTTAAAAATTAGTTTAAATAATCATGTAGGCAACAATGTATCCTGGGCCTGAATATTCTCCTCTCACATGCTCACTGCTCTTTCACTGACAGAGCTGGTCTACGGCCCAATATATTCATAAAGTATTTCACTACATTGAGCCTCCCATGACCAGGAATTGTTGACCTGTGCATGGTGATAATGAGTTAAGGGTCATCAGTTAGGTGAATTTGCATTTTCACCCATGTCAGCTAATTTTTTTTCCACTTGTTTGTTTTTCAGCTGCACTCCTGGAGAAATGTGGTAAGTTTTAGTTAGCCATTGCATACTGAAACCCACCATTCTGTTTTAGGAAGATAAATCTCTTGATGTGCTCATGAATATGATGATTTCACCATTATCCAGGAAACGGTCGCGGAAAGGCTGAATTCATGAACCTGGGAGAAGTAGGAATCTAGTCCTTAAATTATGTTGGGTTCTAGAGAGAGAGAGTTTCTTCTTTGTCCACTCCAGTATCCATTGCCCCAAGTCTCTGTAACACTGTTTTGCTCTCCCAAGTCCACACTCCATCCAAATGCAGCCTACCACTGCACACACACACAGCCAAGTGCCCTGCCATTGCTCATCCTAGAGCCACAGAATGGTCATTGTCTCTGGAGGGACTGGGCCTGCTCCACTGCACACAGTGCCACTGCCAAGACTCACAGCCCCACTAGAGGAGACAAGCCATAGGGTCCCAAATGGAAGGGGCTCTGCCTGTTCCTAGGGACTCCGAGCCTCAAAACTTACCAAAAATATCCTGCTTCAGCGTGAGACGGCTGTGTGGGTGCCATGCCCAGGGGTGAGGAGCCTGCTCCTGGGCTTGTGCCGCGGCCTGTCGACTCTCCCAAAGGGGGGCTCTCCATGCTGCCAACACATAGAGATTTGTGTGAAAGCAAAGAAGCAAGAACAGCACGGTGGGACTGTTTCAAAGCATCCCACGCTGCTGCCTCCCCTTAGGCACCAGACGAAATGCCACCAGGTTTGCCAGGAGGTGTTGTTCACAATGGTATTTGCAAAGTTGTCCCTGCTTCATCTGACTTTGGAGGGAACTCAGAGGCAGATTCTCTGCCTAGCAAAATCTTCTTCCATAAGGTAAGCTACTAAGTACAGCAGTGCTTCAAATGAGCCTGTGCAAAGAAACCCCTCATTGGATTTAGGATGACTTCAGACACATCCTGTTCTTTAAGCCTTTATTTATTTGTTTGTTTATGTTTCCAATAATTGTGACCAACTCATTCATACAGGGTAAATCAAACTTGGTTTTAATTTAAAATAAAATCAATTGCATTTTTTGGTTTGGGTACCAAGGACTGAACCCAGGGATGCCTAACCACTGAGCCACATCCCCAGTCTTTTCTTTATGGTTTATTTTAAGACAGGCTCTCACCAAGTTTCTTGGGGCCTCCCTAAGTTTCTGAGCCTGGCTTTGAACTTGCTATCCTCTTGCCTCTCCCTCCAAAACCACTGGGATAACAGGTGTGCACCACTGTGCCAGGCTCAAATGCATTTTTAAAAGAATGCAAACAAACTGCCCTTGTATAAGGAAAAGAAAAGCATCATGCATGGAAGAAGAAAAGCTCATAACTATAGTTTATGTTACTTAAATTGGTCATATTGTATTAATCTATTTTATGCTCCTATAATAGAATACCAGAGACTGGTATTTCATATGTACCTTGATTTATTTAAAGCACAGATTTACTTCTTACAATGGCCCAAGGTCATGGCACCAGCATCCTGTGAGGGCCAACTTGCTGCATCATTTCATGGTGGAAGGTGGAAAGGCAGAAGATTTCATGTGCAGCATAGAGAGGGGAAGGTGCCTCGCCCACTCCTTTATCAGGAACTCCCAAGAGAACCAGCCCACACCATGATCATGGCACTAACTCCTTCATGAGGACGGTTCTCCCATTACAGAATTGCCTAGTAATAGTTCTGTCTTCCAACACAGCTGCATAGCAGATTATTTCTTCCACATGCACTTCCAGGGACATCAGACCACAGCTTTCCATGGTGAAAATTTCTGGTCCCCAACATCTATGTCATTCTCCCATGCAAAATACATTTATTCCGTCTCAATATCCTCAAAGTCCTAATTTTTTCTATCACCAAAGGAAAAGTCTAAGGACCAGAGTCTCATCTGAATCAGACACAGGGAAGAAGACTCCAGGTGTGAGTCACATGGGGACAATTCTTCTCCAGCCCAGAGCCTGTGAAATCAGCAAGGTTCATGATTCCAAATATAAGGAAAGACATGGGACAGGTATACTTTTTTCCAGTTATTATATAAGAGGGAAAAAGGAACAAAGGAGTAACAGATACCAAGCCTAAAACTTCACTGATAAAATAATATCTAGCTGGGCACAGTGGTGCACACCTGTAATCCTAGCAGCTCAGGAGGCTGAGAAAGGAGGGTTGTGAGTTCAAAGTCAGCCTCAGCAACTTAGCAAGGCATTATGCAACTCAGTGAGACCGTGACTAGAAATAAAATAGAAAATAGGGCTGGTAATGTGGCTCTGTGTTTGATTGCCCCTGACTTCAATTTCTGGTACCAAATAATAATAATAATAATAATAATAATAATAATAATAATAACAACAACAACAACATTAAGATTTAAAGCTGGAAGATAACATAATTTCTACTGCAGATTGATGGAGCACATTGATGGGCTTCCTCATGCCATTATCTTCATGTGTCTATTATTGTGCTTTGATTTTCTCTGTCCTACCTCTACCCTGGCTTCTCCTTCCTTCTATTCCCCCTCCAGAATACTTCCTCTTCTACTTTCAGTTCATCTTTTTACATATAAGGCATTAAGGTCTTTTTTTCTCCACATACTCACCACGATGTTTTGCTCTGTCTCGATCACAGCCATTCTAACTGGGGTGAGATGGTTTCTCATGGTGGTATTGACCTGCAGTTACTCCTTGTGGCTAATGATATTGAATGGTTTTTTATTTTGTTTTTTTGTTTTAAAAAACTTGAAAAGGAACTTTGATCATCTACTCTGGAAAGATGCGGGGACCCATGTCCTTAGCCCTGTCTTCAGGGCTGACAAGGACTTTGAGGATTTACAGAAAGGGGACTGAGGTCCAGTGTGAGGAGCTTACACAGCTGGAGGCTTTGCACAGCTGCCAATGCAGGAGGTCTTGGTCAGGTGTGCCCTGCCCATTCTTATCTCAGGCTGGTCCCACAGGGCCTTGTCCAATAAGGAAGTTGCTGTTGCCTGAGCTGGGGAAGCTGAGGTGGACTCTACTCTTCACATGAGGTCCATCCATCATCCCTTTTTCCTGGAATCCAGGGTGACTTTGGAGCAAAGAAGGTTGGTGTAAAATGCAAGCAGAGAGGCCGAGTCTTTAGTCCCCCTTTTAGCCCCCCACAGACATTTACAGGACAAAGTGAAGAATCTTAAGTCCTTGTCACCATCTTTCCTGTCCTCTGCCCATTCTCAGTCCTGAGGGACTGGAGTGTTGGCCAGTCTGGTCAGCAGGTTCCTTGTCCCAGTGCTAAACTTGTCTTTAAACAATAGCTGGAACATAAAAGCAAAAAGGATCAGAAGTTAAGCCTGAAAGTAGAAGCACCATGATAAATTATAAAGCGGAATATAAGTGAGCCAAAGTCTGAAGTTACCAGTTAAATAAGTCATGCAGGACTTCTCTCTCCTTTTAGATGGTTCCACAAATATGGGCTACTAAAAATATATAGTTGGGATCATATTTTCTTGTCTTTGTCTAAATACAGGGCCCCTGTCCAAGCTATTTGCTCCACCTTCTCTGTGCAGGAGTCTGGTGGAAGGGCTTTGGTGCCAGGCAACCGTCCGTGAGAACCCCTTCTCCGTGACTTGGGGGCTTTACTTAACTTCTGCTAGAGCTTCCACAATTGCACATAGCATCACATTAAAAGGCTTCTGTCTTCCTCTCAAGTCTCCCTGCATCCCTGTTGTCCCACTTCTCATTCCTCCTCTTGTTATTACATTGTTGAACTTCCCTGCTGAGTGTTCAAGACCAAGTAGGTGACGCCTGTGCTGACCCCTCTCCTTCTACTGCTCAGTAAGCTGAGACTTTTCAGGCCTACTCTTAGAAACTTTTGAGAAGCCTCTTGGCCCCTTCAGTCTCTTCCTCTACTAGTTGTGTCATCTGACAGAATGGGTCAAAGTCTTGCTGACCACATGGGGCTTGCCTTGAACTGTTAAGGACATTTCCCTCCCCAAAGACACTCCTCTGCAAAATGTTTGCAGATGGCTTCCTGGCCTCCAGGGTCCTCTTGGTCTCCCTGACTGATAGGGTAGGTGACTCACTCAAGTGGCGAGGCCCTTAGAGAGGGTCCTGGCTGACCTTGTAAAGCAAGACCAAAAATATTTGTTATTTTTCTTAGCCTTTATAATCTCACAGATGAGAAATATAGATAATCTTTACTTGTGTGTCTGCTTTGATCAAAATAAGAAAAAAAATTAAATCCATAATAGAAAAGACTAGGCCACTAGTCATTATTTACAAAAATAAATAATATTCAGGCATTAAACTATGCTTGTTACTTTCATGGAAAATATGAAATAAAGTTTAAAATGAATAGAAAAGATGATGAAGTAGCATTATTGGATGGTCTTTTTTGCTGTTATGAATTAAAATATAATATATAAGTAAAAAGATATTTTAACATTTTGTATCTAACTATTGAAAATGTAATAGAATTGATTCTCTCTCTCTCTCTCTCTCTCTCTCTCTCTCTCTCTTCCCTCCCTCTCCCTCTCCCTCTCTCCCTTTTTCTCTCTAATAATATGAATACATACTAAATAAAAATAATTGCCATGAAGAGCAATGAACCAGTGCATGGCAGTTTCTGACACTAGATCTAAGGAGCAGATTCAGTGACCTCCAGGGCGGACAAGCTCTGGCTCTCTGTGTGCCTCGCATGTGTTCTGGGAAGCCAGCCCATGCAGTCCTGAGCCCAGAGATGCCCTGTGTGGTCTCAGGCAGCCAGTTCCTTCTATCCCTGAGCCCAGAGATATGTTCCACATATCCAGTAATGCCACACAAGTCATATAAAATTAAAGCTAAGGATCAAATGTCTCAGAATTTTGTAAATTAATATCTTTCTACCTGTTTTATTTGTTTTAGATAAAATTAACAAAGAGCTTGGTAAGTCCTGTGTCTCTATCATAAGGTAAATTATAAATGTGTCCTGTGACCACTTAGAACACTTACCTCTTCCTATTTACTGTTGCAGAAGAAAGAAAATTCCTTGGAGAACAGGGTAAGTGAAGCCAGGATTCCCAATTGATGTGCCATGTGACATTACCTACAACAGCCCTGTCCTTCCCTGTCACCCAGTTAACCCTGAACATCTTCATCAATTGCAGGTCTGAATAAAATCCGAAAATTTGCAGGTAAGTGCAAAGTGATTACTCTGTGGGGAAGACTGACTTTGTGCTTGCAATGTCATCTGCAGTTCCATCAGTTCCCCTGTGAAAAAAGAGAAGTGTTTTCCCTCCCCATCTCTAGCACACATTTGAACTGTCAACATAATCTGATTCTGGGCTTACGTTCTTTCCAATAAGCACCAATTTGCTGACTAGGAAAGGTTTCGTTTTAGAAAAGACCACAGTGCAGTAGCTGTGCAAACAGGGGTAACATGGTGTCACCTGATCTGAAATAACTTTCTAGGTAAGTGAGAAATCAGTCCTCTCTCTGTCCTGACCTCAGCAATTCCACAGCCACAAGACTGTCTAGATCAAGCAGACTGGTGAGACGGGCTGGTTTCCTTTACTCTCTTCTCCTAAAGTCTCAGAGCTCTCATGCCTCTCAGGTTCCCCTGATCAACCTGCACAAACACCACCATTTCTCCTTGTAGAAAAGAGAAGGTGGAGAGGGCCGCCTCTGTGGATCCAGTCCCTGCCACCCCCACCGTGGGTACCCTCTCATCTGTTCGACTGTCAACCCTCCACAAGGAGCTGCCTCTGAACATGCCTTCTCAACTCTCTCCCTTGCCCTCCACTTTGTCCAGAGGCCCCGTTCCTGAAGACAGGCTCTGGTGGGGCCTCCCTCCCTCGGAGTGCTGCCTTTCTGGCTGGGTCCTCTGCCTGCTCATATGCTGCTATCCACCGCCCACCTCCCGCTGCTTGGGCCCTCAGGCACGCTCTGTCTCTCTGCTCTGCATGTAAGGGCCTCCACAGCCACCTCTATCCCTTTGAATCCACCCAGGTGGGTGGGGTAGACCTTGCTTAAATATTGAAGAAATATCCTGAGATCTGTACTGTCGTTATCTATGTCAAGGCCCTAACCATGGTCGTCCCAACCTATCACCAGTTCCTTTGGAACCTGTGATGAAACACCTCACGTCTGTTGTAGAGATGAAATAGTTCAGGGATAGTTCACACTGAGTCAGAACCGTTTTGTGTTTGGTTGTGGAATGGCCTCATGGGAAATAGCATACGGATCCTGTCCTTACTTATGGAAAGAACCTCAAGTGTGACCTGTTTTTGCCTTGTCTTACAATCTGGATGGTTCTAGTGGAAATCCTACCATTAATTCTCCTTCCTTCTGCAGAAGACATAATACTGGATAAAGACACTGCTCACCCTTACCTTGCCGTGTCACCTGATGGAAAGTGTGTGAAATCCGTGACCAAAAAGCAGGACGTGCCGGACAAACCTGAGCGATTTGATACAATGCCAGCGGTGCTGGGTCGGAACCGTTTCTCCAGTGGCAGCCACTACTGGGAGGTGGAAGTAGCAGGGAACAGCAAGTGGACCATCGGGATCTGTGTGGAGTCAGTGAACCGCAAAGGACAGTACATCTCTGCTAAGACCCAGAGCGGGTTCTGGACCCTGTGCCTGAAAGATGGCACGTACAAGGCCCTCTCCGTCTCCCACCACGTTCTCCAGGTCACAGGCCCCTCCTGAGGGTGGGCATTTTTCTGCAGTATAAGGAAGGGTTGATCTCGTTCTACAATGTGACTGAATGTACCATTCTCCACACTTTCAAAAGTGAGTTCACTGAGCCCCTGAGGCCGTACTTCTACCCCGAGCCTGCTGGTGAGAAAAGTACAAATGGCCTTACCATTGTCAAGGTGCCAGCCGCAGACCCCGCTGTCCCTCTCTAGAGCGTAGTGGTTATGTCCTCATGGGTCATAATGACAGTCTGGGTTGCCATTCCCAGAGCAGAGAGCTGCAAGCCACAAGAAGCCAGGCTCCCTGCAGACATTTGGGAAGACTCAGGATGCCTTCAGGTGCTCCGGCTGCTGTCCCTCTCCCCCTCAATGAATGTGCTTCCTTCCATCCCCTTCCCTGCAGAAAGACAAAGCTCTGCCATCCTTCTTAGACTCTGAAAGTGCTTCAAGACTGTCCTTGGTAGGTCACTGTCACATTGCCTAATGTGCTTTACCAGCTGACGGACTGTTTCTGTATGAGCAGGAAGCGGTGAGGTTTCCCAGGCAAGAGACCGACTGTCGTTCACTGTAACAATCGTCACTTTTCTTGAGCAAATACAGCACTGAACGCCACAGAATGGAGTAGAATTGAATTGCCCAGAAGGACACATGCTCTCCAGGCATTTCTGTGCAGCTCTGTGTGTAATCCCAGGGCCTTTAGGTCGCATGATCATGCACTCAGATGCAGGCCATGATGTCTGCCTCCAGCCGAAACCCTTCAGCATCTGCTGTGTTTGTTGCCTGTCAGAAAAGACACAAAGCCTTGCTCACAGAAGAACTAGAAATAACAGAAAATGAGTTTAGAACAACTCAAACTTGCACACTTTGTTGACTGAAGAATCCATTTGAAGAAACATTTGGTTATTTCTCATAATGTTAAATGTGTTAAATTATTACTATAATCAGTAATTTCACTGCTGGGTGTTATTCTAGAGCAATAGACACTATGAACCAAAGATCTTCAAGAATGTTCTTAGCAGCTATATTACAAACAACTGAAAACTAGAAATTAATGTCCTACATGAGAATCTGTAAGTAAACTTAAATCCATTCATAGCCCAAAATAGTGTTTGGAACTGAAAAAAAAAATGAGAGACTAAAATATGCAATATGTAGATGATTCCCAGATATATTTTGCTAATCAAAAAAAGGCAGACAGAAAAAAATGTGCACATCTCTATCTGTATAAAGTTCTTCAGCAGGTAAAATAAATATCTTGTAAAAAAATAAGTAGATGGTTTTGGAGGTGACTGAGTGGGAAGGGGCAGAACTTGAGTTTCTTCGTTTCACTGTGTTTTCACTGTTTTCAGTGTGGTCAGAAGTGATCCTTGCTCCTGTTATTGGTACCCTTGCATAGATCTTCCTCAGTGAGTAACAGCCATGCTCCCAGAATCCAGTGCAGTCAGTGTTAAGTAGCATCCCAAGTCACATCCTGCAGTGGACAGCAGGTGTCCTCTTGGCCTGCTGGATAACTCACTGTGAAACATGATAGCGCCAGGCCGTGAGGGCATTCAAGCAGTTCTGTGGAGAGGCCCGTGGAGGGAATTTTAGGCCTCCTGCTCATATCCATGTGGATGAACCAATTTGAAGTGGACAGTCTGGCCCCTGTAAAACCAGCAGCAACTAGAACTTCACAAGAGATTAAGAGCCACAGCTACTCAACCATCCTCAAATTCCTGAAATACAGAAATGACAAAAATCTTGTATGAGAAACTCTCTCTGTTAATGGACTAAACTTTAGGATGATTTATAATTCTGCAATCTATACAACTATTAATTGAAGAAAAATTAATTTTAAATTATAATAAAGAATCCTTTTAGCAGGTTTGCTTTGCAGTGTCATGGCTTAGCCCATTTACACACACACACACACATACACACACATATAAACATATATACATATATATTTATGGCTTACTTTAATGCCTTTACTTTAAATAAAAATGAATAAATAAGAATGAAGCAAAATGGCAACTGAAACTCCAAGCCGAACAGATATCCATTATTTTGGTCAGTTTTTCATCACTGTAAGCAAAAGACCTGAGAACAATGTAAAGGAGAAAAAGTTTATGTGGCTCTCATGGGTTTCAGAGGTTCGGTCCATGTTCAGAGGACTCCGTAGGTCTGGGCCTGTGGAGAGGTAAGCGTCATGGCAGATGGGCACAGCAGAGGAAATCAGCTCAGGACATGACAGCCTGGAAGCAGGCGCACGTGCGCGTGTGCACACTCACACACACACACACACACACACACACATACAGCGCTTCCCACCAGGGCTGAAGTATAGATCCACTGCTTAGGTGAGGCTCTCTAACCTAATCATTCCAACTCTGAACGTTCTTGCATTGTATCACACATGAGTTTTGGGAGAACACCACATATTCAACCCATAACATTCATGCACCAAACTATCTTCAAAAGAGCTAAAAAGAAAACAAGTGAGAGAAGGTGGTGCTCTTTTTTAGTATAACAGAAATACTTCTTGAAGTGGGCAGGAAGGAACGAGTTGCCCAAGTCACCCGCCCTAACTCCTAGAAGCCCAGCATGGGGAGAGTTGCCTCCCCTTTCAGGGAGGAAGAGAGAATAAAGTTTGGGGCTTAGACATGAAACCCAGGCCCAGGCCCACTACAGTAACACCCTGTATAGGCAAGGCTCCACCCCTTCTGACAGGCCATTCCCATGGACTTAGCCTGGAACTTCACTAGGCCAGGCAGCTGAAGGCCTGCACTCCTCCACCAACCTCAGAGGCTGACCTGGGAGCAAGACTCCACTCAGTGATCAGCTAGGCATGAAAGACAGCAAAAGCTTTGTCTAAGATTCTAGTGCCAGCCCTGTCTCAGTGAGACAAAGCACAGAAGGCCCTGTAAACAGGCCACAGTGCAGATGGAGCCTCTAGACCCATTTAAGACCAAGATCTACTGTTATCGTTTAGCTATGAGCTATCTCCAGAAAGGTCATGTGTCAGAAGATGCAAGAAAGTTTGGAGGAGAGATGATAGGGTTATGAGGGTCTTAACCTAATCAGTGCATTAATCCTCTTGAATGGATTAACTGGGTGGTGACTATAGGCAGGAAGGTGTGGCTGGAGGAGGAAGGTCACTGCCTTTGGGGTTTATATTTTGTCTCTGCTTCCTGAAACCCATGTTCTGGCTTGCTTTCCTGTGACACTCTTCTGCCCTGATGTTCTGCTCATCTTGCATACAGAGCAATGGAGCTGGCTGTCTATGGACCGAGACCTCTGAAACTGTAAGGGTCAAACTTTCCTCCTCTAAAAAGTTCTTGTCAGGTCTTTTGGTCACAGCAGCCAAAGAGCACATGCCACTTGAGCACTACTGGCACAGACTTGTTAGGGTCTGTAAACAAGTCAGGATGGCACCTGGCATATTGCCAGAGGGAGTAGTTTGTGAAGTAACGCCTGCGAGCCATTGAGTGTGGAGATTCCTTATTGATTGACTGCTGTATCTAGTTTATGTTAATTAAGATAAGCTGTGTGGAATGTATAAATACCTCTGTGGTCCTACAATTAACGGCTCCCATTCCTGCTGTATCAATCTACACAAGTTGCTCATCACCCCACCCCCACCCCCGGTTATTTTGCTGCAGTCGGACTGCGGCACAGACTCACAGTTCAGTGTGCATTGCTCCCAGCCTCAGAGGGGGCCCAGGTCATACCACCTCCTCCTAAGTCTGTGCAGGCCTCTGTGGCTGGGAGACTTGGCATATCCCAGTTAAGCACCAGTTTAGATGGCCGAGGCCAACCTTGGGCAATGCAGATCTCAACAGATAACTGCTCAGACATAGGACTCTAGAGTCACTCTGGCACAAGGTGGGAACTGTGGGATGGACTCGTGTGTGAGCCTGCACCACATCAGCTTCAGTGTGGGCTTCACCACACTCCTGAGACTTCACAAGTCATTGCCAATCTGAGAGGCAGATGTGACCTAGCTCAGCATCCGCTGGGTAGCCAAGTGACTGCCTTCACCAACATTATCCTGACCTCAGGCAGCAGGTGGGAGAAGACCCATCTTCTGGGTAACAGGAAAGTGTGGTAAGTGCAAGACTTTGCCCTGGAACTCAGTGTTGCCCAGGTGAAAACTAATACTGGGGAGGTCCTAAGTGCCTCCACACCCAGGCTTGCCTATCAATGGAGACTGTGGAACAGCCCCAGTTTCAGGAAAGACAGGCAACTCCAGTCTATAGACATGGTTTCAGCCAACAGCACCTGTGCTGTGTTGCTATGGTCTTGGGTCACAAGTCTGCCTCAGCAAGAGGTAGCCAATAGCAGTGTGAGGTTTCTTTTTTTTTTTCCTACCCCGATGTTGTGCTGCTTTTGGTGGGCTGTGTGCAAAGAATGTAACATAGATTGACGGATTGACAGAATTGTTGGCCACAGGCTGGTATCTGTGGATGAAGCATCCGAGTCTCTCCTGGCCCCAGGGAAAGACTTGTGGATACAGACTACTCTTTCTAGGTACTTCCCTATTTCTTTTGAACAATCCACCACCAGTGTGCATTTGGGAAAACCCAGGGCTTGGATTTATCTCTACTATTGAAATAGTGGCAACAGACCAACAACAGACCACCATAAAATCTGGACCTGAGTGCCAAACAGGGCTGAAACAATGGAAGTGACTACAGTCTCAGA